ATAAACCAATCATATATTCAAGAATTTTACAACAGTTGCAAAGCTACTTTCTCTGCTGAACGCAGCCAATGTTCGCATTGCTCCTTCCTCCAGCCCAGCGGTCCAAAGCTTCTTCTTCCTCGTTAATGGCTCCCGCAGCGGCGCGCCGCGATACGGCCAGTATCCCATGTAGCGATGGTATAAGAGAGGGAAATGTGAGGCTGTCTAGGACTGTGGTCAAAGTCTCGCTTCAAATGCTTTGAACTAACCGTTTGATGGACCAATTAGAAGAAAGAATTTTACAAACTGATCAATTAAAAAACGCTTCAAAGCGTTTGCAACATCGCGTTGACCATACCCTAGGATTGACCAGTCATGGAAAAATGTTGAATTCAGGGAACTTGTTATGAGAGACCTCGGGAAAAAATATTTTAGATATAATATATAATATATATTAAGTAAAATTATATATCTAAATACATATATATATAATTTTATATAATTGTATATAAATATATAATTATATATTTATATACAATTACTCAGATAGCCAAGTCTGTAGAAAGCAGATTTTTTAAATGTGTGCTACACATTGTGTACGATTATACCAACAAAATAACAACAGAATTGTTTCAGAATTAGATGTACATAATAATGTTGACAGACTGCTAGAAAAAACGTAACAGAATCTACAAGCAGAAGTAAATGACAGATTGGAAAAAGAAACAGAGCAGATTTGTGGTATAAAATCTGATAGTATATTGTCTACAGAAACCAAGCAGATCCTGACGACATCACCTAGCACTAATCTATCAGCAGAAACGACGCAAATCCTGCTCTGACACGATTTGACAGCAGATTGTTGATAGAAACCCAGTAGATTCTGGGACAATCTGTCGACAATAAATTATCAATTATCAATTTCTGTCGACAATCTGCTGTCAGGTCGTGTCAGAGCAGGATATCAGTCATGAAACTTTTTTCCTAGGATGAAAAGTGAAAAGTGAAAAATTTCTCCATTTAACTTCAATGATTAAAATTTTCGCTTTTCACTTTCCATCCTAGGGATAAAGTTTCATGATTGATACCCAGGATCCGCGTCGTTTTTGCTGACAGTCTAGCGTCAGATAATGTCGGCAGGATCTACTCAGTTTCTGCCAACAATTTGCCTTCACATTATGTCGACAAGTGATGTTAACAGAACACAAGCCTAATGTGGACGCAGTTGATGGCAGACTGCCGTCATTTTCTGCTCGAATCTACTGACAGTCTGCTAGAAAACTGCAGACATTTTGCTATCTGGGTATATATAAATTTATATATAAAATATTTTTTCTCGGGACTTTTTATTGGAGGATGTAGTGATTGGATCTTATTCGATTAATCGTAACAATTTCGTCTCTTTTAAGCGACTTCTTATGATACCAAGGATTAACAGCGGGGCTTGAGTAGTACTCTGCATATAACTGCCCTTTAACGCGGGCTTGCTGTTCTAGGAAGCGGAGAATTTTATGTTTTTGTTTAGTTTATAGAGTCAGAACTTGGACGCGACGAAACCGGTAAAAAATCCAGTTCACGCTACGTTTATCTCCTTAGTTCCTTGCGTGCAGAGCTTGGATGTAATACTAAACGTAAAAATTTAAATTTAAAACTTAACGATTACGTTCGTCAAAGGCTGCGATCCAGTTGACGCTACAAACGCTTCGAAGCGTTCTTTGATTAGTCAATTCGTAAAATTCTTTGTTCTGATTGGTCGCTCAAACGCTTCGAAGCGTTTGTAGCGTCAAGTGGCCCGCAGCCAAAGTGTTGTTCAATCAGTTCTAAACTCAAAGTTACGAAACATTTATTACGTAAAACTATACATGTGTAATAAATATGTAAAAAATGTAATCGTTAAGTTTTAAATTTAAATTTTGATTATTAATCAAGTTATTATATAAAATGTAAAGGGGGGGGCCGTAATACTATCATCTCCTCTATATATTAAATATTATATATATAGATTAAATAAATATATTTTTGTATGCTTACATTTTATTCAATAAGTAACATTTTCTATCGTTATCGTTTCATTATTTTTATTAATAATAATAACAATAGAAATTCTGTTTATAAAAAGATATATTTAAATTTAAAAAAACACATTTGAATATATTTAAATTCTTACCTCAGTAGAATATTTGACAAATGATGTATTCTGGCAGGGAAATATAGCTCTAGCATATGTAAACTAAAAATGTAGAATTATGAATATAATATAGAAGAATTCATTGTTCATTTATTATTCACCTTGCTGTTAGTAATTAATAATAAAGAATATATGCCATCGGAAGTTTGATCAGGCCTTAGCCAATACAACGCAGGAGAATTTTTACTTGTTTCATATTTAATCTGAATTTCATTACTGAAAATAAAATATCTTTATATTATCAAATATTGGTATCAATAATTTATGAAATATGCGGTATTTTAAATTTCTAAAAGCTTTCTATATTTACTAATAAATATCTATTTTATTTGTGTTTTCTTCATCAAGTAGTGGTATTTAATGGTGAATTTACTTCCAAATTTACCACAATGTCCAATGTCATATTCTAAACTTCTTCCGGTGTGAAAATATGTGACGCTCAATATGGCGAGTTTATAGTTATCTAAAATCTAATTGCTCAATATATTATATTAAAGATAAACCAAAATGGTCGTAATCACAAAACAATAGAAAGTAAATACTTACTATTTCGTTATATATATCTGTTTTCTTTTCATAGTCGTAAAATCCACAAATAATTCGAAGTTAATGTGAATTACAACAGCAGATTATTCTAATAATTACAAAGTTAAAGACATTTTTTAAGATATTCGAATGTTTAGCGTGGATAAAATTATAAATATAACTACAAACAATAATTGCAATTAAAAACATAATTTTAGATACGTATATTATTTTTATGCTGGTAACATTTTGAGTATTATGCTATTTTAACGTGTAATTTGAGCATTTAAGAAGACACGCAGAAAGTCATAGTAAAAGTAGTGATACAAATTAAAAAATTGTGGATAATTTTTAAAGATCTGGAGATACATGCAACAGTTGCATCTTTCAGACATAATAAAATACAAAGTAGAACAGCAGCGCCTATAAAGCGCTAAAAAAACGCTAATATACTTTTTTAAGCGCTTTTAATGCTTTATAGATGCTGTGTGTTACTTGGATGATAATTGGAAGATTCTTAGTGTACTATTTATTTCAATAAAAGAGAAAGGAAATAAATTTTAAATTTTGAATTTTTATGTAATTAAATAATTAAAATACCTGGTCTTGCATAAGAATACGGATCTCCAGGTGACAGACCCATTTCAAAAGTTTCTGTTAGCTTATCCAATTAATTATTGAAAACAGATTTTTATACTATCTACTAAATTGGACATAACACTGCTTTCTCCTTTGTTATTATATTACCCCTCTTTACGTTTTAATGTGTTTAACAACAGTTTGTTCATTAAAGAAAAAAAATATAACGCAAGAAAAGTCACAATATTTTTAAACAATTAAATAGTGATAACCGAGAAAACAATGAGAATTTGACTAGAGTTTGATCATCCGAATGGATATTTTGCTTCACAGTTGGGTAGTTATGGCTGATCAGGTAAATGAGATAAATACAATATACAATTTATAAATTATTATGTTTTCAAATAGTATTAGATATTAGATATAGAAATCTTTATCTCAATACTTAAATAGTAAAATACAACATTTTTATATCATAATTCAACATGTTTGGTTATATAATGTTATTCGAGTAAAGAATGCAAGTTTTGTTCGAGTACAATCGCAATAAATAACATTCTTATATAACTCATTCTTGAATACGTATTCAAATAATTTCATAATTATCATTTTTTATTCTTTCGTTAATTTTACAGTGGAAGAATGATAATTAGCAATACGTATTTTTACAGAACGTGATTAATATATAATTAAAAGAATTAAAAATATCAAATAAGCTTTATCATTTCAATATCGGCCACTCGTTTATTATCAAACGTAGCATCATCTGTCTTTAAATTAATAATTTCTTATAAATTTTTCATCATTCGTATTGATATTTTTTTTAAATATTAACACAACCAAAGACACAAAGTATTAACAATCTAAGCGCACGGATTATTTTGTATTTAATTTTTTAAGGTGACAATCTTGCCGTTTTATTAATTTCATAGATTTCGAGGAACCAAATTTGAGATCTGCGGTTACCACTAAGTCTGTTAGCAATATCTTGTATTAAGTAGAATATATTCTATACACGAAATTCTTTTTACACAGTTTTTGAAGGCACCTAGTTACCAAAACTATATTTATTTCCGAAAAAGATAAACTGCTTCGTTTTACGGCCTGCAGCCTTTAAGAGAATTCTACTTTTTTTTTTAAACCAAATTTAATCTTATGTTTTTCTTAAAGTTTTTAGATATTTTTGAAAAAGCTTTTTAGAAAAACTTTCGAAAATTGTGCATTCTACAGATTAATATTCTATAGTCCTATATTTATGAAGTAGTCTGTCATTTATAGTACAATCGGCACAATTTATATATTTCTACAAAGTTCTATATAGTTAAAATATTATTAGTTTAAACTTTTTATGTGTAGAGAATTATTAGCTTTCCGATTGTCACCATCAATAACGGATTACTTTGTGGTATAATTAAGTAATTATTAAATTATTACAAAAAATTGAAAAGTATCATACAACTGGGAAAATTAGTAACATCCTATACATTGGACTATTTCATAAGGCAAGATATCCCTCTGGAGACACATGTATATATGTATATATAATTATGTTTAGTCATTAGAACTAATAAATATTAAGCCATCTAAATATTTAGTCATACAATAGATATTAAATATGTAAGATATTTTAAATCTATAACAAGCTGATAGATTATATATCTTTTGTCGTATCTCATTACGTCTATCGTATTAATTCATAAAGAAAATATTTTAAATATAAGTATTGGGTCTTTACTTTTGTACAATAAATTAGTAATAAATAACAATATCGATTGTTACGAAGAAACATTTTGAGATTAGGCATTGTGCAATGCAGTAAAAATTTCACGGAACCGATAATATACGATTCTATAATAGAATTAATATTGGCGAATTTAGTCACATTTATTTAATCACATCATTAATTGCCGTTGTGTTAAATAGTTGTTCATGGCGGCGCTGAATGTGGAGGTTGGGGTCAGCAATTTGAGACAGCGCTGTGTTTCTCATCCGCATAATAAGATACTGTTACAACGTCGCCACCCACGTTAATGAGACATTGACCCTAGAAATATATTTTTTATAAAATATGCAACCAGCATGGGAATGTGCTTTCACGTTAAATAATATATTTTTACTAACTTGATTTTTGTGAGGGCTGTGAAGAAGCACGCACTGCGTCATAAAGAATGCTACCATGGCGTTACCACCTAATGCTGTAATGTGCGCGCGAACAATTGCCAAAACTTCCATTACGAAACTGTGAGTAAAACCACTCAATCCACCATTCTATAACATCATCAGAATTGTTACCGTTATATTTTATAACATTTCGTCGAGAATAATTACTATGGATTCTACAAAATTTACCTCCCGTATCGATGTACTTTCGCGAATAAAAAAGAAATTTAAATTGCCTTGATATCTCTCTATTCTTCCACCTGGTAGATAAGATAAAGGCGTTATATCCACGCCATATCTTCCTTTTAAAGGCACCTATAATGAATTAAGATATGAAAAAAGTCCTCATATTATTCATGCTCAACATTTATCATAAATTTAAAGGCAGAAGTTGAGAGAAAATGATAACACATGATAACAGTACAAATACTAAGTATATTTATATATATATATATATATATGTGTGTGTGTGTGTGTGTGTGTGTGTGTGTGTGTGTGTGTGTGTGTGTGTACACAATAACGTGGTCTTGGCTTTTGTACAGGGGTACTACTTAATGTGGGATTTCCCGCACAAGTACGTGTTGCATTGTCGGATATAACATTGTTCTCTAAATGATCCTCGTCTAAGCTGAATATCATATCACTGTCATCTGGTATAAGAAATAAAAAAAAATAAAAGAATTAATTTTTCCCTTAAAATATACATTAACGATGGCATAATCATAAATTGTAATATAAAATCCGATAATAATTCCCGATAAAAATAGAAAAATAATTTGTAAACAAAACTATTTCACAAAATACCTGATTTTCTCACTTGATCCTTACTCAAGGAACGACACACAATTTTCCTTTTATATTTATTCGTATTCAAAGGTTCTCCTAAGCCAAGTGCCATACCAACAACGGTTAGTTGTATCTCGTCTTGTTCGGGTAATGCTACTTTAAACTGCATATCGCATAGCGCACATGGAACCATCCGTCTTAATTTAAAATATAAAGACTAAAATAAAGTAACAAACATTTTACTAAAATGAAAATACTTCCTTTTCGCGAAGCACATTTTCAATTACAAGTAAATATACGCGAATAAATGTGCTCCAAAGTGAAAACGTTTTCTACGAAATATTTTAGAGATGAAAAATCGTACCTGAAGTAATCTAGCAAAATATTTCGATGGCATCGACGCGAATTGTCCCATAGGAATTTTAGCCCTTGAGATTTGCGTGAACATTTGTAAATTCCTGACAATTTCTAAATCTTCGAGGCCAGGTATGGTTTGTGTGTTAACGACGTGGAAATCATCAGGTGGTCTGTTGTCCATTAATGACGATATCCGGTCCATATCCTCGATGTCATCCACTTCCAAGACACATGCATCGCGAGTACCCAATCCAAGATCGAGTTCCGGCAGATCCTCGTCTGATTCGTCTGTATCAGAAGTACTCGGAATGCGTCCATTTTCGACTTCCTACAATCGCGTCACGATTATAATTAACGATCAAACTCTAGGATGATATTCTCTGAAATGAAAACGGTGCTAAGTCCCACATACGTTGACTCCGATAGGTTTTAGACGATAAAACTCTCTATTCTTCTTCACCGTTTCTACGATAGACTTTTGCATTTCCCCCAACTGCTCCTCGTTGTGCCACGAATTTCCAGACGCTATTTGCGGGATGGTGGGTGGCGGCAGAGCCGTCAAATAAATTGCGGTGCCTACCGCCATTCCAATTACAAGTCGTTCGCCCACGGAAACCTGCAACCTGAGACCGAAGACCGCATTCATGCCTTTGATCTTGAGCTTATTCAACAATAAACTATGTAGCTCGTATTCCAAGAATGGCAGGCAATCGGATATCTCCTTCGCGTTCAGTTCGCCCCGCAGATCCTTTTTGCTTTTGCACACAGTCGCTTGAATGAAGCAGCCCCTTCCAGTCATCGGTATATTTGCGGGCACTTCTATAGTAGTGAACATCACATCTGGGACTTTGGCACGTTTGCATATGGCACATTTTGATACATTGACTCTAAATGGCACGCTACCCTCGCTATAAGGGAGATGGCACAAGTTGCATCGCAATTGAGACTGGCCGCAGGAGCCCTCGTGATCGTTGCTCTCGGAAGAATGTTTGCACATTTTCCCATTTTGCCGTTCCGAGTGAGTCACGACGGATACGTCGCCGTCGACTCTTTCCGCCTTCATCGCTACGGACTTTTGCTGGCTCTTTTCCGAATCCACGGCAGCCGCGGGTACACCACCTTGCTGAAGTTTATTCAGAACGACACCGTCCGAATCTTGACCGGAATTATGAAAATTTATGACTGCCGCGGTACCGGAAGCACTCAGCACACATACGTCGTCACTGTAAAAAAAAAAATGCACGTTGTTGATACAAAGAGATACCAGAAAGAATTAAAAGCTTACGTGAAACTTATTACAAAATAAATCAATTCTTTTCGCTCGTATAACTTATACAAAAATAATAAATAGTAAACCCAGGTGAATACATTAAATTTAATCATAATATGTTAATGTAATTAGATATATGAGGTAATTATGTATTTCTGCGGATGATGAGGACTAAGTAGTAGCCGAAACGTACCGTTGAAATTTATCGTCGGAAAATTATAATTTGTGAATAATAAATAATATTTTTTTTACATCTAACTATAACTTGTTTAATGTATTGACCTGGGGGGGGGGGGAGGATTTACTATTTATTATTTTACGAGAAACTATTGTTTTTATTTAAAAAAAATTGTGTCTTATGGTAGTAAGACATGCAACAAATATAAAGCTCTTACCATATACTGGTTTCTTCCTTGTAACCTATAACAACGTTGCAAGCTAACGCTCTCGCGTGCGATCTAACTTCCATTCTAATTTCAGTCCACCACGAATCACGGCCCTCCGGCTCCTCCAGATTACTTATCCTCTCGAGTAATTTTACCGACTTCGAGCTCACTAGACCACCTATTCCATCATGCATATAATTCAGTTCGTTATTATTATGTTTAATTTACACAAACTTTTATATTTGTTAAGTGAATCAACTAGACTTATTTATCATTGTAAAGGACCAAATATGGTGTCTCGCATTGAAGAAGTAGTCTTCAAAACGCTTTATGTACCTAATAAATTTAATTACCTATATGTAATATGAAGCCAGGTGGATAATGTTGCATAGTAATAAATGGGTATTCTAACATTTCCAACGTGTCTTGATTCATAGGTCTGACGACCGCAGTCGGTGTCCTTAGAGGTCCTGCTATCGATCTGTCGCTGCCGAGAGAGTTACCTGAGACACGAATGGAAACTTTTAACCCTTTTCTCTCCCTTTTTAATCAAATCTTTATAACTGAAGTTCTAACTAAATCCTAAACATCTAAATCCCAAACATCAGCAATATATATACATGATTTTATTTATAGACTACAATTTGTCTTTCATAAAACAAAAATTAAAATAGAGATTAAAAGAAACAAATGTTTAATTGTCACTGCCAAGAGAGCTACCTGAGACACGAAACTTTTCACCCCTTTCTCTCCCTTTTTAATCAAATCTTTATAACTAAAGTTCTAATAAGAAAGAATCTTTTAATTTTGTGATATGCAATAATCGTAGTGCAATTTCTACGTAAATTTATCTCATTCTTTGCTAAAAGGAATAATAACTCAATATACCTTTAGGAGTAACGCTCAGATCGGAATCACTTGATCTCCGATGAAGCGGCACGTTGGCGAGCGTTCTGGTCGCCGGTGACTGGGATATTTTCGGAGCCATCGTGGGAACGGCCGGAAGCGGACAGGGCGGACTGACCGACGTCTCGTCTTGCTGCCTAAGATCGGGAGAAGGATGGGACACACGCGAGTTGTAAGTCATATTAGCATTGTTAGTGGGCATAGCGCAATCAATATGACATGATGTTTTTTCTAGATTACAGGCGCAACTAACAGACACCGCGGATACCTCGTCGGGTTTCCTGCGGCCGCACCTCGGCGACTTTCCCGAGGTTCCGGATGAACCGTCATGCGGACGGTGAAACGCAGGAGATGGAGATACGCGCGTGCGGTCGGTTAAACTAACGAGAGAGGAGCCGCAGGAACGAGAGGTGGCATGGGAAATCGGATGCTGACCTGAGGAAAGGCGTTCAGAGATCGAGCGAACGCGAGGAACGCGAAGAAAAACGTCCTTCTTGTGATGTCTGTCGACGTCTGGCGACGAACGTCTCCTCGTGGATGCGCCGCGGGAAGGAAACCTGTCAAACCAATTCCTCGATTTTCTTGAGTTCTTGCGGGAAACCTTCCTCTCGAGCTTTCTCTTCTTGCTCCTCAACGATACATTTCTTTTGCTGTGACACGTGGATACCATCATCTTCGTGTCGATCAGCTTGATCAAATCATGCATGCTTCTCCGTTTCTCGATGGTCGCCATCGCGCGAGCTTCTTCGTTCAACAAGCTGGTCCATGTCGTTACATGCGATAAACTGATAGCCAGATCGTTCTTCTCCTTGTCTGCGTTCATGTGATCTTCCGATCCTTCAGTGCAAGAAGGAGACTTAAGCCGCGTCGATGAATCTCGTTCATGTTTCGTCAAATAAACACGACGTGTCTCGGAAACTGATCTGGATATAACACTGCTATGCCGCTTATCATTCTCTATTTCTAAATTTTTCTTATGCTCGTTTTCAGAAGTGTCGGACACTTGTCTTAAGTCATCGATCTCTTGATTATCAGACGAATGAGATAATTTTGAAGTAAAGATATTGGCCTCGGTTAGAACATATGAATTTGTAATATCGAGCTGACTTTCGCTATTCGAGAACCCGGACGCATCAATCGACGTGTCCGAGTCTATGCTGTCTTGAGTGTCTACGGTGATTATAGGGATCGTATCGTTTCGTACGATGTCTTCCGTGCTCGCTAAGTTTGAACTTGATGGCGAACGATTCATCGATTCCATCTGCAGGGTAGAATCTGTGCAGCTTTCCGCGCTGGAGTGCGTGATGGGAATTCTCTCCTGGAGGCTCGACGAGTCCTCCGCTTTGTCGGAGTCTCTGTCAATCGAGTATCTCGAATCGTCCAAGATATTGTAGCTTGTGGTGTCCTCCGACAATTCGTCATCTGTAGAATTACCGTCATCGAAGGAGGACGTCTCCGTTTCATCGATCAAGGACGCGACATCCTGTTTCTGCTCTTCGCTCTCGATGTTGCTATTCACATTTTCATGAGGATTTTCTTTACAACGTGTCTCTTTCTTTACCTCTTCGTTAGGTTGTTCTTCGCTGGGAAAAACTGAAATAGGGTCAGTATTTTTTATATTTTCCAGAGGCATGTTATGTATAGATCCAATCAGTAACGCGGCCATTATCCCACCGGTCTTGGTTTCTTTAAGACTTCTGTCCTTCTCGGGATTCATGGCGAACGAGCTGATCGTATTGGTTTCAGAATCGGACTTCGCGGCAGAGTGATTCTCTTCGCCGACCGAGTCAAATTTGCTACGCAGGTGTTTGATTTGCTTGGAGAGACGATCTTTCGGCGATTCCTTCTTCGCGTCCTCCGGCGTTAACATAGTGCGTATAGACCTCACCGTCTCATCGATTAAACTGCGGCTAATTTCCGGAGACGGAATGACATCCGAACTGGACGCGGTTATCCTTAGACTCACCATGCTTGACGTATTGGATCGTAAAAAGGGAATACGCTTGACATGTTTCCTTCGCGCTCCAGCAAAATATCCAGGAGCCTTTGCACCGCGTTCCAGGCGCGTTAGAGACGACGTCGACTGCATGTAAAACGGGAGATTTCTGTTTCTACGAATGGGATACGAAGCGGGAATTGAAATGGGGATGAACGGCGCGCTGTTGTCAGAATAACGTTCCGTTCGCGCTATCGTGCGTGAGGAAAGCGCAAATGTGATCCTATGCAAACGCATGAGGGTAGGGAACAAGAAGAAAAGTATCAATTAATTCGTGTACTTCCTAAAAAAGTATAATATAATTAAAAATAATGAATGGACGATTTAATTTAAGCGATCAGAAAAGAGTATAATTCAGGAACTATTTTATGAGAAAAATAAACAGTACAATAATTTCTTCTTCAACAATTGAACATAAAACCAGGTGCTTTAAAGAAATTGTAAAATGTGAAGCTGATTCTATATCACGTAAAAAAGATTAGATCAAATTAGTAGATATAGAATTAAGAAAATATTTCAATGTCAATTGATTGCCAATTCAGATATCAACGTTTTATTAACAATGATAAGCAATTTGATTTGATCTATTCGTAATATCGAAGTAATGAGAACCTAAATAAAAGATAATCAGCATTTAATTGCAGATAAAATTAATTCGTCCAATAAATTCGGATCGTCCATATCTATCTGCTGCACATTATTTTCAACCACGGAAATAGAAGGTCTCAGCCGTAAAATAGCTATATTTCCTTGTACGAAATTCTTGAAATAGCTTGTTTGTGAGCGCCAACTTTATCGTAGATTATGTGAGTTGGCGACACCTATTTAATTGGCCTGTACGATGCCAGACGGAATTGCGCAATAATTTATCGTTTATCATTTATGATCGAATTATATTTGAACAAGGACTGCCCGGTAATTCATAACTGGATATGTAATAGAAATACTCACTCCTCAATATTAATGCTGTCGCAAGGAAAACCGAGAACATCATGCAGTTTTACAAGCGTTACTGCAGTGCCTATACCTCTGGCAACGATACCGGATTCGCCTTCCAGATCGAAGTTTTGCAAATACCTGATGCCAAATATCGAATTATAAAATAAAATAGCAAGCATATATTTTTAGATACTAAAAAATGTCTTAAACCAATTTAATTTTTACTTGAGTGTTATAACGAAATAATAAAAATAATTGAAAGTTTTTCTAGAAAAATAAAATTTACCCAATCACAGCATTTCCACCAAGATCCAATGCTTTTAATCCAATCTTTCTTTGAACCTCTCCGCTCAATTTAAAAAATAGAGTCTGCCGTGCCTCGTTCGATGCTCTAGGTGTTCTTATTTTATCAATCCATTTGTATTCCGGATCGTCACTAACTACAAGTTCTTCAACAAATCCATGTATCATTTGAGCATGATATCCATATGGTATATTAGGTGCTAAAATATGTTTAAAATATTTATCGCAGATTTTAAAACATTTCTTATGGTAAACTTATACTTAAGTAACATAAATATTAAATTTGGAAAAATAACAATTCAATAAAAAATGAAATTAGGTATATTATATAAAATGAAGTATCCTACATAATATTTATTTTTCTCTTGAAACTATCACTATGTTGCAAAAATTAAATATACTTACAGTAAAAAAATTGTACTCCACAGGACGACTGTCTGAACTTGTTGAAATCAGAGAATAGCTCTACTTTAATGATAATATTAACTTCGCCACGTATGCCATGCATTGTATCAAATACAGGTATCCATCCAGTCATAACTGACCCTATAAAAAATATGCAAGGCAAAGAGAAAACATTTGAAAAATATGTAAAATGTATAAGTGTATCTCTTATAGTATATTATATATCACCTTGAGAACCAGCAGTGTTCATAGCTGCCTCCAGGGTCCAAATATTTTTTACAGAAGGCAGCACACCAGGCAACAACAATGGATTCAGATTTATGTAAACTTTGCCTATCGCATCATTGGCAGAATATGTGTCATGGTCCATTAATCTAATTTGCAACGGTTCGTCTTGCAGCTCTGCATCGTCAACTTCAAATCTATACCATTCCGAGTTCCATTGCGGATTCAGGGACTTTCGGCACACGTCTGTCTTATAAGTTATATTGCCAAATTTTAATTCTACGTAAGCGTCTGTCGTGTCACCAGAACGGTCCATCACTGGCAGATTGCGACCTGCCAGTATCTTCACCTTTATTTTTCCAGGCATCGTGTTACTTTGATCCTCAACAAGCAATCTATCCATGAAAATAAATTCCACACATTTACTTATCTGTACATCATGTTAAGGTAATTATAATTATTCAATTTACATGAAACATTTATGATTGTGTCATCTAAATTGAATAATTATTTATATTAATATAAAAAGATATTTATAATATTCAAATAATATATAAATTATAATTTACAGATAAATTTATAATCAAATATTTTATATCATAAACATATGACATTAAATATATTAAATATATCTACAAATGTATATACAGCTCCTATACTTCTTTGCACCAAGTAGTATATGTTACACTTACACTTATTTAACAGACAACTTTCACGCTTTTACTAATTCTACTTATATGACACCTTATAAGGCTGAATAAATACTTAAAAAATACTTTCAAAGTAGATGTTATTTATTTGTGAAATCCAATACGTGGCAAAACCAAGGAAAATTTCGCTAGCAATGTTCGCTCACCATGTCCCGCATTTAGCCCAGCAATGACACTTCGCGAGTGATTTAATAACGAAGAGCTTGTCTACGGGTAATCACATCTTCTCAGTTTTTCTCGCTCGACAATGCTCGACGATTAACCTCCCGACTCCCGATCTCTCTCGCTCCGGTCTCTCCCTCCAATTTCGAACAACGGGCTCCATCTAGTAGCGTTCGGGGGAAACCGCACTTCCTACCGGCCCGTGTTGTCCCCTTTGCACGATAACCTATAAAAAGCTGGGAAAGGAACGGTGAAAAACGGGTTGCCCGAGCTCACCGGAGACTCGTCGGAGTGCGCGTGCGAAATTCGCGGCTTTTACAATGGACGACGAGACCGACCAGGAGACCACGATCGAGGACGACTACTACACTTTCCTGAACATCTCGAGAAACGTGAGAACGCCTCGACAATCCGTTCCGTATGCAATTCGCCCGGTTTCCCAAGAGAGTAGAAATCGAGTCTCGTATACCTTCCACGTGACACCTTCGTCTTCGTCACGCTGACGTAACGATGCTCCAGAGGATCCGTTTCCTCGCGACCGACGCGAGAAATCACGGATAAATTAATTGGAAAACGCGACGTTGATACTGCCTCGCCAGTCGCTCGTTCTTAACATATTATTCATTCTGCAACACAATTTTTCGTTGCAGAACGCTAATTTGTTTGATCTTTGCATTACAAACGAGTGGATGTCATTTTAAATCTGTCCCTTTTTATCTTTTCTTTCATAAAAGCTACCTTTTATTTATGATGCAATCTGATAGTCTCTGCTGTAATGATTGCCTCCAATGTTCCAGGCTAGTCCTGAGGATATCAGCAATGCATATCGCAGACTTAGTAGACTCTACCATCCAGATAAGCATGTGGATCCAACGCTTAAAAAGGAAGCTGAGATTCTTTTTAATCGCACGAAGAAAGCTTATGAAGGTATATTACAATATATTTAATATATGCATGTTTGTAGAATCAGAAGAATATTGATTTAGAATTTATTTTATGTAACTGATATTCCTGCAATTATTTTTGTTATTCTGTTATTATTACTATAGCAAGTTATAAAATAAAATGTTTAATTGCCTTTATTTGCAATATGAATTCTTAATCTTAGAGCATTAAAATTATGCGTACATTATATTGGTTTATTTGTTTAAATTTGAATCTTGAATGTAAAATGCTTGGTATTGTAGTGTTAAACGATCCACATCAAAGGGCGATTTACGATTCGCTGGGAATCCGTGGATTGGAGACAGAAGGATGGGAAATAGTACAGCGTACAAAAACACCTCAAGAAATTCGCGAGGAATACGAGAGACTGGCGAGGGAGAGAGAGGAGAGACGACTGCAGCAGCACACCAATCCCAAAGGAACTGTAACGGTAAACATCAATGCCACCGATCTTTTCAGTAAATATGATGAAGATTACAGCAATGGGTAAGATCGATCAGTCTAAATTATTACAATTAAAACATTGATATTATTATGATAAAACACAGTAAAGAGATTGCTTAAAAATGAAATTTTATTATTAAGCAGTATTACTAAATTTTAACAAATCAATAATTATAATCCTTGATTAAAAAGTTATGGACCTAGTTTCAGCAGTGGACTGTTTTCATGCATCGAAGTCAGCGGGATGTCGTTCGCACAATCTATTGAAGCGCCTCTGACCCTGAGAGATACCGTGACTATGTCCGGTCAACTCGGAACCCAAAACGGTACGGGTTCCGGGTCCATCAATGTCTCAGCGAAAAGGCTGGTATCTTCAAAGGGTTGGGTCGAAGTTGAGGTCGGGGCAGGCAATGGTCCAACGTTTTCCCTCAAAGCATTTCGCACGTTAACGAAACGATTGTTTTGTGACGGGGCAACAATACTGCAGTTTACGTCGCACGGCGTGAAAGCTGGCTACGTTGGGAGTACGTTTACTTGCGGTTTTCGTAATATAATTGTAACCATGTAATTCTTAGTCTCTTATATTCACATATTTGTTTTATGTATGGAAGGATATCTTGAACAAAATTGTTATATTTATAGCTCTTGCGATGCAATTGGATAAACACACGGTAGGATACCTTACGTACAGAGCTGGCATTCAAGACGCTATGAGCACAATGATTGTGAGAGACACGTCTCAATCCTACACGGCGTTTTCTATACATTTCGGACTTCTACATTCTTTCGTCAGCCTTAACTATACTTACAAAATGGAAGAGAAGCAACTTAAACTTCGTGGTAGTGTCAAGTTAGTACTGTCAACGTTACTTTATCCTATTATCAACAAATTTAATAATTATGTATAATTTGTTCTATATAATTTATAGAGCCGGAACATTTGGTGCGTTTCTCGAATACGGCGCGGAAAAGAAGGTCTCCAAGCATAGCTCGGTCTCGGCGGCTGTACGCATCGGCGTTCCAACTGGCGTCACGTTAAAACTTAGATTGAGTCGCGCCTCACAGGCGTACACGTTCCCTATCCATCTGTGTGACGAAGTTCTTCCAGCTCCGGTCTTTTATGCCACTGTAGCACCCATAATCACTTGGACGGTTATTAAGAAGCTCATAATCGATCCCGTCGTGAAAGAACGGACAGAGCGCGAGAAAGAGAAACAGAAAGAGATGAACAAATCCAGAATGTTAGAGAAACAAAGGGAAGCCAAAGCGGCCACTGAACTAATGAAGGAAACCGTCAGCAGGATAAGAGCCGAGGAGGAATCCAAGAAAGGATTAATCATTACCAAAGCGTTGTACGGTCGATTCGTTTATCCACAAGATCGAGCTGCCACGGACGAAAGCGGACACAGAGACGAAATGATAGACGTAACGATTCCTTTGCAATGTTTAGTCAAGGATTCCAAACTGATTCTTCATAAGGCATCTAAGGTGCGCTCTTATAAACTCATCTCTTACGTCAAGACTCTTTATTTCATTTAAATCTTATTTCTTATTTTTGTCAAAATCTTCCTACATATAAAATTTAACATTTTATTTTTTGCATAAATAAGATTTGATATGCAGAGAAGATTCCTATAATTGAGGTAATAACCTGTAAGCTTTAAGAAATTGACCAATCACAGTCGAATGTGAAGAGAGTAATCGACTATGACTGGTCAATCTCTTATAGCTAACTAGTATTTATTTTTCCCAAAATTACAATTACCTCATTTCATTCTGTCACCGATTGTTAAAACTTTAATCTCTATAATTTCTTATAAACCAAAGTATATATAAAGTGAAAATTGAAATATTTGTAAGTCAACATGAAATCGTATGTTATTGCAGAGCCAACTACCTGGATTTTATGATCCATGTGTGGGAGAAGATAAGCAACTTTTGGTACAGTATCTCTTCCATACTCATACGCATGAATGCGTTATACAGGATGATGCACCTCTTAGGATACCAATCTCGTGTAAGAGTTCGCTTGTCTGTTACAAATAAATTTGTATTTAACGATTTGCCGATATATTATTTGTATGTTTCAGCACACAAAGTGAATACTACTTGACATACAGATTCAACATCGAAACCAAAAACCAGTCGTCGCAGTTCCCGTCAATGATTGACGTGTTACTTTGGTATAGATTTGTCCATTTTTAGAGGTTTAATTTTACATAAAGGGTAAAACATTAAATGTTCGTTGATCCTTAAACTTTGTACATTAATGTCGTTTCTTCAGTAAAATGGTATTTTATTATTTGAAAATTATAAAAATATTTTTAATATATTACATTTCGCAGAAATTTTGCGAAAAGTGTTCTATAGAAGAAAAATAGATCTTCTTTTACATAAATATTCAGCTGTACTCACGAAGCTTTTAATCGTGAGCTGCACTGAGATGTATTCATTTTGCTCATTGAAGTCATATTCCAAATATTTTAGAGTAAAAGTCAACCTAAACACAAATCTATTTACTGCCTATAGAAATGTAATGATATATATGCCACATAAAATAGAAAACAATTCCAAAAATCATATTGATCTTTTGACAGTCATCTAAAGATCATTATGAGTAAAAAATAACAATCAGCCATAGAATTATATTACATATGCATATTATAGAGAAAGACATTCGTTAATTAATTGCACAACCGATTACATTGGAGTTAAAGTATTAGTGTACAATTTATTCTTGTATAAAAAATAGATATCGTTTTGACGCGATAATGTGTATATAATTATATACATAACTTCAAAAAATTATGTATATAATTTCTAATTATATAAAACAGATATCTATATAATCATCTATTCTATATACCTGCAGAAGTATATTTGTATGTATGTATATTTACAAATAGGAACTATAAATAGCTCGACATTACATCATGAAATAAATTTGCTCGTTGAATTATAACAAAGACCCTTAATTTATCAGACTGATATAACTTAGATGTCAAATTTTTTTCTAGCAATATGCTACTTTTCTTATTTGCATTTTTCATCACTCAATAATATAAATTTGTTAATTACGTTACGTGCTAGTACTTAACATGACAGATTGTAAAAAGGTATTCGCAGTTGTATCGGAAGGTAAGAATTTTCCAATCAATTTCAATTCGTCGTTCTTCACCTGCAATTGAGACAGTGGAGTCCACGAACGATCTTGTTCTAATCTAAACGAACCCATATAATTGTGTGAGGGAGCTGAACTACCCCATTCCTACAAATACAATAAGAAAAGTTAGACAAAATTTTACAAAAATATTTAATGATACAAAGATATTTACTTCTGGGCTAAGCATGGAAAAGTAACGCTGTCCTGATTCTCGTTGATACAAATGATAGATGTGACCAGGTTGCTTCACAAAATTGCAAGGTACATGATGCAGCTTAGCGTTTCGTTCCGCTTCCAACAAAATACCCTCGGCCTGTCTTTGCAGAAATCTAATCTGCTCTGCGATCACTTGTAACTTGTTACATGCATTAGCTCTTACACAGTTATCTGCCTATATAAAAAGAAATAAATAAATAAGTAAATATATATATAACAAAACCATTATAATTAAATTATAAATAATTTAATTTGATTATAAATATTACGCAGATATCATATATTACCTTTTCAATTTCCGTAACCAGTGCCATTAAATCCTGCTTACTTGATTTTGCTACAGCGGCTGGATCAACCAACGATATGCCTTGTGGCATAGTATTTCTTTCCACTAGTGCTACTTTAATAAGAAAACAATTATTGTAAATAAATATTATTCCATTGAGGGGAAAAAAATAGTTGCGGCAACTAGTACAATGCTAAAATTTAAATACTTGCAACTAGTTTTAAAAAGTGATAAGAAACAAAGTAGTACTACTAGTATTTTTACTAGTAGTATAATAAAAATACTATAAAAATACAGTATAGTATTATAAAAATATAGTATTCAGTACTACTTTAATTCTTATTACTTCGTAAAACTAGTTGCAAGTACTTAAATTATTAGATTTGTTAATTTAGGAGTTGTCAAAACTATATTTTTCTCTGAGTGTACATTCAAACTTTGTCATTCAGTTATCACAGATTATACCTGTATTTGAAAAATCATGCAGACTATTTGCTGCATCCATCCTATTGCTATTGTCCATTATATGTACAATTAAATATAATTACACAAAATATATTGATTAGATAATGTCCATACAGTGATTAAACAAATAATTCGAATTTTTTAATGTTTAAAAGTTCAAAGATTGAAATATACTGTAAAATTAAAACAATTCTGGTCTCATTCTTGGAGCAGACTAGAAAAACATAACACTGTTCATTAAGACTTCATAAAATCGTAGAATTAGATTAAATTTAGAGAAACATTTGAAATTCAACAAAGTAACGCTAACACATGAAAACAGATATTTCTTTCATAATTACCTAGACTGACCTAGAGCAAAGCGTATCTGAAATTCAGATGGACAATCGCATTAGAAAATCTAATGCGAGATTTCACACATGTTGATTGGCTGTCGGAGTAAGATTTTAAATATGCAGTCCGAAAAATAGTCCCTTCTCCAAAATAATTCTGAATAGTCTTTCATTTATTGCACAAACTTTTCTAATGAAGAATAACAGAAAAAAGACGAAAAAGCAAAAAAGGCAGGCCGTAAAAATTAAGAATAAAGAAGCAGAGAACATACATTTGTAGAGTGGGTCTTAAGGCTTGGCGCGAAAGGACCGACCACGTGGCCAGTCGATGTCGATACCAGCGACTCGTGAACTGGAAAAACGTACGAAGGTTCGTTCTAGCTATCTTTGCATCCCGGCCTCTTTTTCATGTGATAGCCAGGTGGACAAGGTGGGCATTTTCGAGCATTTAGCTTTGCAGTCTTATTATGTATAACAATGTATGAAATCTTGCGTCGCGCGACGCCAGAAAGTCCGTGACAGTCCGTGATACGTGAGGCGATTGATATCTTTCCCAGATCGCGCGTCGAAGGCGTGATTATGACGGATTTCGTCGGTTCCCGCAATCCTCGTGTTTACCATAATGCCACGCTGCCGCGTGTTATTGACGATTATTCTCACGTCAGGAGAACGGTCCCCGGAGTCTCCGCGAAATCCATGCTGGAGTTGTTGACGCTGTCACTCGACGTCCCGACGAATGTCTCGCGGACGTGCGGGTGGTACTTGTAAACAATGTCCTAACCTCGAAATCTCTTTCAGATGTTCACGGCTAACGCAAAGATAATTAAAAGCGGCGGCTCGGAGCCCGATCAGTTTGAAGCGAGCATTTCCAATGCTCTTCTGGAACTGGAGATGAACAGCGACCTGAAGTCGCATTTAAGGGAACTTTACATCACCAAGGCGAAGGAATTAGAAACAAATAATAAGAAGGTAAATTTCAATTCCTTACGTTTGTATCATTCCTTACGGTTGAATCATTTCAGCGATAGGTCTGTTTTTTATTCCTGTATTAGATTGTACTAGAACTCTTACTTCTATCACCTGTCCAATTTGAGCTCCAGAGCCAAAACGCAAAGCCATTGATGCAAAAAGATTCAATGTGGGTAAGATTTTGGAGACTGTAAAGTGTTGATACGCATTTAAGTAGTGCTTATCAACAGTTGATAGTTCTTAAGATCTCTTACATTGAATTTTTTTACGGCTTTGCATTTTGGCTCTAGAGTTCAAATTGGACAGACCTGTTTTACCAAATATAAACTTATATCTGTCTCACTTTAAATTCCAAAAGGATATACTAGTTTAGGCACAGAAAACAGACTAATGCTTATATTCATAGTGAATCTTATATTTAAGACTTCCTTAAATTTATCTTCAGATATCCTACGAATTATTTTATGGGCTACTGAACATCTAGAGATAAATTTAAGGAAGCCTTAAATGTAAGGTCTGATTATAAATATAGGCATAAATATTGTAGCAACATTGCAATAACATTATAAACGTTGCAGCAATATTGCAGCAAGTTTCTGTGTTGTATTTTAATGTGTATCTTTCTGTTTAATACCCTTGAAAAAAACTGTATTGAATTGCTTGTATTTTTTGCAGTCGATCATCATATACGTACCGATGCCAAAACTGAAGGCTTTCCAAAAGATTCAAACGAGGTTAGTACGCGAGCTGGAGAAGAAGTTCTCTGGCAAACATGTAATGTTCGTCGGTGAACGTAAAATCTTACCGAAGCCGACGAGAAAAACGCGTACAAAGAACAAGCAGAAGCGCCCTAGAAGGTAAGAAAACGAAAATGTAATATTTGTTTTTGTATAATTTGACAAGTGTAATTTAATTAATAAGCCTGTTTTTTATGCCTGTTTTTATCAATGTAGATTAACTTTATTTAATCTTGGTTCAATTTACTCTTTATCTTTTTTTAATTCTTAGAATTAGAAAAAGATGAATTGAGCCGAAATTAAAATTAAACTACATTGGTAACAATGGACATTAGTTGAATTTTTTGTACAGTTTATCTTTCTTTTTTCTTTTTACGATTTGGGAGGAAAAAAGAGAAAATTGTGCAATAAGTTCAGCTAAAGAGAATGGACTTTGGCTTTATTCATTTTTTGCAACTTTTTGCACGATTTATTTTAAACTCGTGCAACTTTTTGCACGATTAATTTTAAACGAAAGAAAACTGTACCGTGTAAGAAGTCCAACTAAAGGGAACATGCCATAGTTATCACGTCCATAGTTATTGCATTACCGAGACACTACCAGTGTCTCCAGATTAGTATTATTATTATTTTATTTATTTGTAAAAACCGATTATTTTAATATTCAATATATATATATACGTGCACTATCTTGAATTCTGACTAAACGTTGTATAATCTATATTTATATTTTAGCCGTACGTTAACTTCGGTATATGACGCTTTATTGGAGGATATTGTTTATCCTGTAGAGATTGTGGGCAAACGAATTCGAGTAAAACTCGATGGCTCACAAGTTATCAAAGTTCATTTGGACAAAAATGAACAAACGAATATTGAACATAAGGTACATTTATTGTGTTTTTCTGTCCATTTTCTCTACACAGAACTTTATTTATTTAACATTATAATATAATTCAAATTTTTATTCATCTTTTAACAGGTCGATACTTTCGCTTCGGTGTATAAACAACTGACTGGACGGGACGTAACATTCGAGTTTCCCGAATCTTATGTATGATTTATTAAATATTAAAACATTTGAAACAACGTATTATTTGTTACATTTATATTGATTTTTGTATCATTTTACACTTCCCTATTCCTTGTTCAAAATAATTATTTACTATTTATGAAAATTTGCCGAAAATGTTTTTATTGTAGTTTAGGATTAAAAAGAGACAAAGAATAAAAATCGTGGATGTTGTATCATAAATTGAAATAAAATATATTTTTTATTTTATAATTTCATTTTTAGTTGTATGCATTAAATATTTTAATATTAATATACATGTCTTTCATTTATAACAAAAATAATTCTGGTAATTTATAAAAGTACCTTTATTGCTATTATTTATTAATTATCCATGAAAGAATCCTGCCTATCATTTTTATTATCAAACAAAAACGAATAGTGGTGTGCGAAAAAAGTATAATTTTCCTCGGCCGGTTATTTTTAATTTAATTATCCAAACACGAGTTAACATTTTTTTTCTGTATATATTTAATAACGCCTGTTGAATGTTGAAAAGTCAATTCCAAAAGAAAAAGATTGCGACTTTTTATTTTAGTTATTTACAGATATAATTGTTGATTTCTTTCTTTATTGATTTTTTATAATGATTTGCATAATAATATCTTTTCTATTATCTATTTCAAATTTGATGCGATACCTATAATATTTTCTTATTTATTATTTCCGAAAGATAAAACTTTTTGTTACCACGTATATGAAATAAAAATAGATTGATTGAATCTTCTTCCTTTAACCCTTTCTAGTCACATACTTCTTCTGGGGTCAAAATGATCTCAAAGCTCATTTAGCCGATTGTCGTATTCACAGGTCCTACGAAGTAAAAAAATTACTGGTTAACCCAGGTTGGTGCAAACCCGATCGGGCCGAAAATGCTATAAGCTAAAGATACTTTTACATGGCAGCGTCGAGCATCGAGCATCGTGAGCTTGCTATTTGTCAATTTTGATCACGTGACTAGTTTTTAGCGAATGGTAAGCTCACAATGCTCGACGTTCGACGTTTCACGTTCCCATGTAATGGCACCTTAATGGTACCTTTATATACTTTTGATACCGTTTAAAGTGAAAAAATTTAATTGCGTAATTCAATGGACGTGTCTTTACACGTCAATACAAACAATCATTATTTGCATGTTTTGTCGAAAGAGATTACCGATCAGAATATTTCTAATTAAGCAAAATTATATTCAGTTCATATATTGTTAACAACATTTTGTACTTGTATACTACGTTTTTAATTTTAACATATGTAGATATTAATTTTTAAGTTTAAATTATTGTAAAATACTTAAAACAGTGCGTATCTAAATTAAATTTTGAAATAACATTTCATCATTTTTTTATCATGATCGAAAAATGATTTAATAATTATTTTGGAGTCGTTTGACGTCATTTTGATATCATCATGATTTTTTATTCTGTTTGGGAAAACTTATCGCCGTTATTCGGAGACTCTAAACTAGAAGGAAAATAGCGTGAGAACATAAGGCAGATGTGAGTATAGAAATGTACGAAACCAAGCGACTGTGCAATAGCACCCGTAGTTTGGATCAGGGTCAGAAAGGCCCAGAGGGTCGCGAGGTCGAAGGGTTCAAGAAATAACGTGCTCTCCCTTCAAATTCACTATACAAGCGAAATAGGCTATGAATCCTAAAAAAACTTGCGAATCTTTTATCTCTCTTGATATAGAAACCGAAAAAAAGGCATTGATCTTTGCTAATTAATCCGAATAAAATAAAAATTTGCCAATTTATAAAAGATTATTGGAATCTATAAATTAAAAAATAATTCTAGAAATTAAAAATGTCTATTACGGTCGAAGCTGGATCTTCGTTGCTTTAAATAATTCAATCTTGAATTACTAATATACACTATATATGTACTTGCATATATATCATATTGTAGTCTTTTCAAACTGCGCGCCGAATTCTTTTTCCGGACTATAAACGCAAGTAAAACTACTCTAATAATCGCGAATTAAATTGATAA